GTATTCTCTAGGTGAACGTCAATAAAAAGACCAACTTGTTCTTATGAAGCAATGAAAACTGAGTATTGAAAAGGTGCAATTAGTAACAGGTGTTACCACCTGTGAGTAGCTATGTGTTAATACATCTGCCAAGCTTTTAAAACAGCTTCTTGCCATTGAATGATAAAAACGGCTATATCTTTATCTACTAGGAATGCTGATGTAAGATTTTACAGTTCAAGACATGCCTGTGGGGAAGACGTGTTGAGCAAGGCAAACTCCCAAATTAAAGAAACTTATAGGATAGGGAATCTTATGTACTCTTATGTCTCTTAGGAAGATCAGAATGCTTAAGAATTCTAGTAAGTCAAACATTTGAAATTACAGTCCACCTTCTGTATTCATGGGTTCCACATCCAAGGATTCAACCAATTGTAGATTGAAACTATGTGGGAAAAAAATGCATCTATACTGAACATATACAGACATTTTTTCTTGTCATTTTCCCTTAGACAATACAGTATAACAACGATTTACATAACACATACACTGAATTAGATATTGTAACTAATCTAGAGATGATTTAAAGTATATAGGAGGATGTGCATACGTTATATGCAAATATTAATACTATACCATTTTATATCAGGGACTTGAACATCCATGGATTTTGGTACCCAAGGGAGGTCCTTGAACCAATTACGCACAGATACCAAGGGATGACTATACTAACAAGTCTTATTAGCTGACAAATACAAACTTAAATATAAGGGAATGCAACAAGTTATTTGAACCTGAATGCAGAGAATAAATACTTTATTAACTGATTACAGTTGAAAGTCACAAACAAAAAAAGGGGTATATTAAGGCAAAGCCATATATATATATGTATAAACAAATCCAAAGACTGTTTACCTCTTTACATTTTAATAACCTCTGCATTTTTCTTTTACACGTTCAGGCAGTGTGCTTTCTTTTCTTCTCTATTAAATAAACATCTTGGCCAATATTTCTAAATTGTATTTTGATGACAACTTACAGGATCAGTGATTCAGACAATGACTAGTGTATCAAATGCTATCTGATAGTTTTCTCAGCATATTAACATGTGTGATGGTACATGTATGTTGGGGTGCAAAATCTGACAACTGATCATTTCTTCCTTTTCACTTAAACAATTAAAAAAAATGATTTTAATAGTCTTAACTAAGTTTGGACTTCCAAGTCAGCCAAATGCCCAAATTACATATTTTCTGCCCTTCCCTAAACCCTCCTACATGTTTTAAACAGCTGTTAGAATATGATCACATGGTTGCATTTCAGATCTATAAATTTTGAGATTTTCAAAATCCAAAATTACTCCCTTAGGCAAAATGGCAATGCAAATAGCAATCCTATATAATGTAGAATAATTTTTCTTCTGTATAGCTCCTTTTATAAAAATGGGCAACCATACACACACACACAAAAGACATAAATTTAGTCCATCTGAAAAAGCACTCCAGCTCCCTAATTCCACTTTTGAAGGAAAAGGCAGAGGCAAGTTTACATCATCCCAGAAAACTGAATAAATGGCTTTATTTGGTATCTTCAGGAAGCTTCCCCTTCCGTAGGAGATGTAGGTGTTGTAGGAGAAACTGTAACTGGTTTTCGTGTAATTCTGTCTAGTTCTGCATGAACATCTAGGACAGGCTTCTGACCTACATTGAAGGAAAAGAAAAGAAACAAGATTTAGATATAAGTCAAAGTATCCTGTTCACTAATGTCTCTTCATTTAAAAATTGTTAATGTGCCAGGCACGGGGGCACATGCCTATAGTCCCTGCTACTCAGGAGGCTAAAGTGGGAAGATCACTTG